ACGGTTACATACACCGCCTCCTCCTTCCTTCTTTTGGAGATTTCGGCACTCGAAATTCCGGGGTTTTACCTTCCGCGCTGCCGGCGAAAGGTAATTACTTTCCGCGTGCGATACCATGACCGCGTGCGTTTCATCGTTGGTGAAAATTTTATGACCCTCTGGAAACTCTCGGCCGCGAATTGGCTAAGAGCGTGGGAGGAGGAGGAAGGGGTAACGCACGGTGAAAGAATAAACGTTCTCCGATATTTAGAACACCCTCATAATCCGATACTTAAAATACTTAAAATACATACTCGCGAGAGAGGGAGAGAGATTCACCGGCGCTCAACATTCGACTAATTAAGTTCAAACGATTGCGCGCGATTAATCGAACGCTTCCTGGCCTGCACTGTATGAAATCGCCTTGCGGTGTCACCGTGTCGGATCCTTGCCGCCAGTCTGCGCGTGTTCCCTCCTACCAGGATAACAGCGTGCTCGTCCTGTCGCGGGGATATCATCGCCGACACCGCGTCGTTGATTTTTGCGTCGTGCTACGACATACCGGCTTAACCGGCTGCTGGCTCGGGTTGCGCGTGTGCCGCTCTATCTATGTGCGTGTCTCACATGCAGTCATCTACGTCGATACGCGTACTCGCACTACCGCACACAGGACACCCGCTGCACGGCTCGCACAGACGCGCCGGTGACTACTCGGTACGTTCGCGTCTCTGCGTGGTTGTGACGTGCGCGAGCGCGCGCTCGCTCACCGACGTCTGCCAGTGCAGCAGACAGAGAAAGAGAACGATAGATCGGGAGAGTCTCTCTGTAAGCTTCGGGTAGGGCGACGAAGGGGCCAGAGGAGAAGGTAAATGCGACCGCTGCGCCGACGGAGCGTGGTGGGGGGCCGGTGGAAAGGGTCGGAGTGAGTTGGAGAGGGGGAAGCGCTCGTAGTCGACGGTGCTGCGGCCTGACAGCCACCGGATGAATTCAGTCTGCCGCTGGACTTGGAACGTGTTGAATGTACCGAGAGCCTTGTCCATGGTTTTCCATCGCGGAGAGCAGGTTCCGCTTTCTAGTTTGTCGTTCGGTACAGTGTGAAAAGAGACTCGATACCCGAAGACGGACGTGGTATATGTTTAGCGGCACGACGGGAAAAGAAACGAGTTCTTCCGGCAGTGCGTGATTTTTCTTCCCGTCGTGACATTGCACAGCACGCACACACATACACACACTAAAGCGTGCACCGACAGGCAACACGGTGGTTCACGCCCGTCCCTAATTCCGAACGACGCGAGGTCGTGTTATCGAAGACATCGCGACTTTCGCAACAACGCCACTGACATTTCTTCTCTACCTGGGGCCAGGCGGCGGGAAGTCGGCCAACAGTGTGCGTCGTTTTCTACAACGTTGTGCCCCCGCCTGTGTGTGTAGCTTTCGTTGAACGAGTGATCTCTACCCGGGCGGAGGCTAGAAAAACGGCGACAAGCCGACTGTCAGCCGCGAATCGACAGTTGAGAAGAGGAGAGAGAGTCTTTTAGATAGACAATGTTCGTGAAACGGTGTTTCGAAAGAATCGAGAAACGAGAAACGTACGAATGAGAAACAAGTCTACCGTTCGAAAGTCAAGGTCGTGCCTGTCAAAAAGATGACGCGTGTACCGGTGTATTATTTAACGTCTCGCCTGTAAGTGACACGAGGGATTCCTTTTCAGCCGGTCGTCGCCACGAGACGTATGCCTTCCTTCCCAGAAGCCTCTACGAATTCTTCGCCTTTTTCTTCGCGCGACCGTACCGCGTGAAGTTGTACGCAATATGTACCGTAGACAGTCGTTCGCGAGACAGTCGACTGTGTTTCGTACGAGTATTCTTTAAACATTGGCGAGACGTGAAAGAAAGAAAACGAAACATCGAGCTAGTCGACAGAAAATTGTCGATCGTTAAACGCCATCGTTAAAACAACCGTAAAGTTGCGTGGTCAAGTGAATCGGGAACGTGCAGCAACTGGATAGAATTGAGAAATCGTTTCCTCTTAACGTGAGATCGAATCGTACGTTGTTGACGTTGAATGTTGTGAGGCACGGTGTTCGTTCGTCCTCTGCCATGACACATTGACGTTCGCGCTCGTGTTTCACTGTTTCTTTCTACCACAACGACGGCGGCACAAAAACGAACCGGTGTATTCGTGTACGAAGAATTCGTAACGAACGTTCTGTCGAACGTGAAGACAGAAGAGGAGGGGAGGAAAAGAAAAAAAGTGAACAGTGACGAGAATTCGAGGCACGAGGAGGTTTGACGAAATAGCAACGGGACGCGAGAGCCGGGAGTGTTTATGCCAGCTTGACAGCTGACGGCCAGTGGTTTCCAGCACGTCGACAACCTGGCGGCACGGTTCAAATGAAGCTGAGGCGTCGCTGCATGCAGACGCTCGGCGTCTCCGTGAAACAGTTAAGGAGAAAGCTGCTTGAGCTGGGCGCACGAATCCTTCACGTTCAGGGTTCGAAACCACGCGACATGGCCCTAGTGGTATGTTAATTAAATCGACATTTTTCTTTATTCGAGTATTTTTCGTGTCGATCAATTTTCCGTCGAAAGACGTTATTCTTGAAAATTTCACGTAATATATCGTCGAATTACTCGTCTATGCTAAGAGTGTCCGTTACAAATTTCGTTACCATGACAACGCTGTTATTTCTCGGCGAATAATTTTCATCCGTGAAGTTGTCATCTTGCGCGGGTGACTGTGAGTGACGCAAGCGGTGATCTTGTAAATTTCATTCGTTAATTTGTAATTTACATGTATGTAGGGTACTCGAAAAGAGAGCAATCGCAGCAACGTCCTTCAAATTTTATCGCTTTATTCTCTTCGATATTTTATTCGATCAGACTTCGATCATACGAAACTGTCACTTTTTCCCTAGTAATGGAAAATTTCGTTCCGTGAAACGTTAGATAGAACTCATCTCCTATGGACGGTTAACAAATGTTTGAGAAACGTATCTTTGGAAAATCGAATTTGTTAATTCTCAGTCTACTCCCTATTTAGACTATATCTAAAAAATTCACCCCGTGTCAGTCAATAGGAATCTTTTCTCGCGTAATTCATTCGTCGTTTGACGTAACTGAATAAAATACCACGTAAATCAATCACAGTCTAAAAATATAATATTCCTTTTTCCATAATCGTGCAGTTTCCTTTTCTCTTTTTTTTTTTTTTGCCCCCTCGAAAGAAACGAACTGGTTATTCGATTACGGAACTTAGCAGAATTTCAATCACGTTAATTTCCATTCTGCGTCCCCGTGCTTCGTTCCGGTGGAAATCGAATTGATGCGGGCGGTGTTAAGTTAAACATCGATTCCCGGACGGGACACGCGAAAATCTATTAGCGGCGCGTGAAGTAATCAGAACGTCAATAACTTGGCTAATTAGGCCCAAGTTTAAACGCGCTACGTCAGCGGACGCTCGCCGGAAAATGGGGCAAACTTGATATCCGGCGAAAGTCGATTTTTTTAATCGTTCAATCTCTCGCGGCCCACGTGTTATCACGCGCTCTGTCTTCACTTCGCTGTTTCTCCGTTTCCACGTCCCCTATCTACGGTTCCCGTCTACCGTCTGCACAATCCGCCCCGCATTCGAGCCCGCAGCAATAATACTTCCCGATAAGATAGATTTGTATAATTGATCTATTAATAATTTCGCGAAACACGTCTGACGGTTTTGACGGGCGTTGATCATTTTCTAACGTTTATCGGCAGCTGGTTATCGAGTTTCTGCTCTCGATAGGGGATTTCTGGAAATTTTCCAACTAATTTTTGGAGAATTTTATTTTTCTTTTGTTTACGAGAAATTGGTGAAACATTTGGTGTTTTCAAAATGCTCTTTTTTTCTAAAAAGCGTGGATGTTTTGAAGGTGGAAAATTTTGGGATTTAGGTGAAATTGATTGAAATCGTAATTTATTTAGTTGATTTAGCTAATTGACTGAAATGTTTTGTTCTAGTAAGCTGTATTTTATATATTGAAAATATCTTATACTTAGGATATTTCTAAATAGAAAATATGTAGAGAGGATATACTAAAAATGTAGCGAGTGCATTTCAAATCATATTGTACCTGATTTTAATTCTTGACGTAGTGTTCCATAAGTAATGCAGGTGACAAAATTCCTCACGAATCTATTTTCTATAATGATGTTTTAACGAACTATCAATTTTTTCCTATAATCCTTAATCTATTTTTCTTTCTCTTTCACGATGACCTAACATATGACCGACAATCTCGTACTAGCTTCAAAACATACAAAAACGAAGAAGAACCTAAACCATTCACTTAAAAAAAAATTATACAATGATTACCAGAAAATCATTGAAAAATCCGTCAGACACCATAAGTGACTCCTTACATAAATAATGACAGAGAAAATTATTTTTCTGCGTTCTCCTCGACTCTTTCACGATTCCCTGATACACGACTGCACCAAACACCTACTAACTCTAAAAAAAAAAGAACAACGATTACCAAAAAGTCGTCGAAGGATCCTCTGAAGAGGAGCGATCGTAAGTGGCTGCTTACCTCCCCCAAAATAGGAAGAAAAGACAGGTGAAAGAATAACGAGTTCACGATATCGCATAATTTATTCACGCGTACGTACGTTCTCCAATCATTGGCCAAATCACGGCCCCGTCGTTTGCATAATCAAGCATTCCGCCCTCGCCCTCGACAGACGCTCGAGAGCGCGAAAGTTGACGATACTGTGGGGCTCGTGAGAGAAGAAAAATAGGAAAAACGAGCGTGCCGGCGCGGACGCGGCCAGCCGTGAGGCGAATCGAGACGGAGAGATCGATAGGAGGGAGAGAGAGAGAGAGAGGCCGTTACACCGTCTGCCTCGTGTTTCTTCCGTCTGGCCCAGAATGCGAGTCGGGCTTTCACTGCAGTTTTCTCGTCTGGGTCGACGGTCGGTCTCCCTCGCTCCCATTACTATACTCCTTTCTCTCTTTCTCCGTCCATCTCTCTCTCTGTTCCTCGTTAGCTCTCGTTCCTTGCTCTCCCTCGCACCACTTGTCTCTCCTCTTTCTCTCTCTCCCTATCTCTGTCTGTCTGTCTGTCTGTCTCTCGCCCTTTTCTGTCGGTCGATACCTTCCCGTCGCACTTTTAAATGTCATCAGCCCGATCGTGAGGTCGGCCTCGACGTCTCCTTATACAGGGTGTGCCTAAAATGCCCGGCCTCGGTCCGCCGGCGTGTCCCATTAACCGCGAGTGAGGTGTCGCGTAAAAATGGGTTATTATGGATCCCTTGAATCGAGACGTGCGCTTTGAAGTCGATCTCTGTTTATTTTGCTTTTCTTTTTTTTTTTTCGAAATAATCCACCGTTAACGGATCTTCCGTTCGAAGACGATCTTCGGACGAATTTTCAGGTGTGGTGTTGTTTTGGGGAGCTTCCTGGGAACAGAGGGAGTGTTTGGGTAGATTTGAGATCGTTTTTAGGGGGTGTAGAGGAAGGTGAATCGTCGGAAGGATTTCTTTCGATTGAAGGAAGAAGTGCACGGTGGAACTGAACGTTTCGGTAGAATGGAGGGATAAAAAAGAAGGGAGAGACTATTGAGGTCGTTTCGTTAAAATTCGAACGTCAACCTACTTGGCCCCTTTCTGTCTTCGCCGATTTTCCAGCTGCCCGCAGCTATTTTTCAGTTCAATCAACCACCGGCTACATCGGGCCTCCCTTCTTCTCTCTTGCCGTTTTCCTTTTCCCTTCTCCTTTCTTTTTTTTTTTTTTTTCTCTTTTTTACATGTTCCTCCGGCGTGGATTTACGCTTCTTTCTTTTCTTTTTCCCTCCTTTCTTTTCACATGAGAGAAAATGGGGAGAGATATTCGGGGTCTATTCTGCTAGAATTCGAACGCAGCCTCTTCTCCATTGCAGACGAGCGTCCCCGGCCATTGTGCCTTCGATCTTCGATATTTCCAGGTATTCCTCTCGCATGAATTTCCTATGGGAAATATTTTCAATGCTATGTTTGTGCATTGCGATCATTTTCTCGGGAGTTTTAGAGGGAGGAAAAAGGGTGACAGAGGAACGAGTATCGTGATCGGGGTTGCAAATTAGCAGATTGTTCCGAGAAATTCTGTCTTCTCGATAAAAGAAGACCCTCTTCTCTCTTATTTTCTGTGTATCTTCTAGTTTTCTTCATTTTTTCATTCTTAAGACGAGAGAAGAATTGTCTCGATGCTTGTTATTAGGAGAGGCGCCGAATAATTGATGAAACAGGGAGAGTTTGTGGGTGGATTAACACATCTGAATCATACGAACCAACGGTCAAATTCTACCATCCGTAATTAGCATTTAGGTTTACGACTGCCAGCTGAACGGCCTTTTTACGATTCCGTGACAAATCGTAAAAGCGCGAGTTTTTTCACACGCATGTGCCGTTCGGGCCAGACTTTTGGGAAGGCTGAAGATAAAAATGAGAATAACCGAGCGTGCCGTCATAGTTCATTTAACAAATTGATACTAAGAACACGCGTAAAAAACTCCTCGTCCGACATTTTCCATTCGATTCTCATTGGCCTACGCGCGGCGTAGGATCGTTTATGTAAAAATTTCAAATACCATCTCGTCGAATCATCTCACGTGGTATTTCCCACAGTGCATCCAGTCTCGTGCTAGCCTCATAGTTCACACAGAAGACCCGAACCACACCCTTCACCTTTCGATGTTCGATCAAACCGTGCACGTGTACAGGGTGTGCTAGTAAAAGGGTTATTCTGTATGTGGCAATAAATCGAAATACGGAAAAACAGATTTTTACGAGAAGAGATTTATCTTTGAGAAGATTGAATATAAAAATTATCTACAAATTGTACGATAGACGGTGATAATTTCTCATTTCGAAGAGGATAGTGTGAATCTTTTGCAGCTGAAAGAAAGAATCGTTATAGCCTTTGAAATAATTAAACTGTGATAATTTTATAAAAACTAATATTAGTCCGCGACTTTCTGGTTCAGAGAGCAAAGATTTGTTCGACAATTCGTTCAGTAAGTAAATGTAAATTAAGAAAATGATTAACAAACGTCTTCTGAATACTTAATATACATTGACATATTAATACAAACAGAAATTAGAGACAGTCACACCGACACGTGTATATACTCGATGAATTCTTAACCATAGCGCGGTCTTCGGGTCTTTTTTGACCCAGTCTCTTCTTCTCTTTTTAATAACTTTTGCTGTTGTCAATATTACGTTCCCATCAAATCACATTAAAACTTTATTACTTAGGTTCGTACGGCATGCTGGTAAAATGTCGTACACCAAGATCTTTGGGTTTTCTCTAACCCAGATTAGAATTTCGAATTAAATTCAATTTTCTCCAAAAACAAAGCTTCTTCCTAAAAATTTCTATTCTACCCGGTTGTACCTTCGACCCACCCCGTACATACCCCTCCCGCTTGTCCCACAATTTCACGCCCGAAGCGAGGAATAGCAAGTACCCACCAGACAAAAACGCGTGATAGATTTCCACAAGGAAA